ATACCAACTGAGAGATGTCAGAGGCTGCAAGATTGAGTACTGGATTGGGTCCTAAAATGCATCACTTAGCTCAGCTAATCTAAATAACTCTCTAAATGGAGAATTTCCATACAGTTACATGGGGAGGGACAGGGATTGAAGCTTACATTGAAAATGTTTCTGCCTTTCATTATTAAAAATTTTAGACGTCTCAACGACGTGATAAAGTGCTATATCAATTGCAAGAATTATTATTATTACATGACTCTTTCGGGAACACTATAATTTTACTCTACTCCCCTCTCGTGCAAGTAACTTCTCCTTTATGCAAGAAACATTTAAATGAAAAGTAAGTTTCATGTTGTGTTCAGTCTACATTATACTGCATACAGAGAAACATACAATAATTCTGCTGGGGTTACAGAATCAATACTTACGTATTTGCTCACTCCAGCTGGTATTGCACTGGTACATGGAGTAAGTGCTATTAAGGAGAATACTTAATGAGTGACCAAATCTGTAACTTTTTTTTAAGAGTTTATGGAGTCCTGTAGCTCAGTGGTTATAGCACTCGCCTCGCAAGCGAGAGACCTGGGTTCGATTCCCGGCAGGGCGAAACCTTGGGTAAGCTTCCTTACTCCACACGCTTGATAATAATCCCTCAAGAAAAAAATAAATAAATTGATCACTTCAATCCACAACTTTTGTGGGACACTTCTGTGCGCAATTGGCTGCTGAGTTTCCCCCACAAATATCATAGAATCATAGAATCATAGAATGTTACGGCACAGAAGGAGGCCATTCGGCCCATCGAGTCTGTGCCGGCTCTTTGACAGAGCAACTGACTTTTATTAACCCCACTCACCAGCTTTCTCCCCATAACCCTGCAAACCTGTCTTCTCCAGATACCTATCCAGTTCTCTCTTAAAAGCTGTTATCGAATCGGACTTCACTGCCCTTTCGGGCAGATCATTCCAAATTCTAACAACTCGCTAACAACTTTACAGTATATTCTGTGAAGCGCTTTGAGACATCTGGAAGGCATGAAAAGTGCTATATAAAAATACAAGGATTATTTATATTATTATAAGGGATTATAACCCTAGGTTAGCGATCTGCCAATTGACTAACAAATGGATTCCTGCTTGGTGAACATACTTGTGCAGTAGAGAAACATGCCTAAGGTTTTGCCCTGCCTGGGAATTGAATCCGGGTCCTCTTGCTTGCTAACCAAAGATGCAGAAATTATCCGCAGCATGTTACATAACTGTGGCATATCCCATATCATAGAATGTTACAACACAGAAATGATTCATTCAGCCCTTCAAGTCTGTGTTTGTTTTCTCCTTACAGCCTTTGAGTCACCTAATCTAAAATAGGAAAATAGGCTCCATAAGAATGAGAAGATATGTGATTCAGGATTTTGTTCATATCCCTGGAGCCTTTTTCGGGACACGCAGTCTCGCTATGCGAATGCGATGCATTGCAAACAGGATGCTGGCATCTTGGATCAAAGATGACTTTTTCTGCTCTCAGTGGAATACAAAGATCCTCCAAAACTCTGCAAGGAAACTTACCATTTTAAAAAAAACAATGCAGTTTGGAACATCTTTATTTCTGATTGATAATAGAAGAGGTAGCAGCAGCTGAAGGTCAGTATGATTGACACATGAACAATTGAGACTGAAAGAGAGGATTAACATGCGTGAGTTCTTTCAATTCTTCTGCTTAGTTCATCAGGTTCCGGTCTATTCCATGTCTCCTGCCTGACCCGCCCTACCATCGGTGTCCGGGCTTTCAGCCTCTCTGCCCCCACACTCTGGAACTCCATCCCACAGCCCCTTCGCCTCGCTTCCTCCCTTGCCTCCTTCAAGGCCGGTCTCAAGAGCCTTCTCTTTGACCGTGCCTTTGATCTCCCTCCCACCTCTCTGGCTTCCCTCACCCCTACACCACCACTCCCCAATGCTCAGGCCCCGACACCTGACTGTTCAGCGCTTTGGGGAGTCCTCCCAACGTGAAAGGCGCTCTATAAATGTAATTTTGTTGTTTTTGTTGTTGTTAGTAATAATAATGGAGTCCTGTAGCTCAGTGGTTAGAGCACTCGCTTTGCAAGCGAGTGACCTGGGGCAAGTTTCCTTACTCCACATGCCTCTGTTTACCTAGCAGTAAGTAGGAACCCGGTTGATCGTCGATTGGCGGATTGCTTTTCCGGGGGTAATAATTGCTTCAAAAAAAATTATAATTGTTCACTCAATCCACAACTGTTTATGGGACACTGCTATGCGCAATTGGCTGCCGCGTTTCGTCCACAAAGTATACAGTCAATTAACTTTACAGTATATTCCGTGAAGCGCTTTGAGACGTCTCGAAGACGTGATAAGGCGCTATATGAAATGCAAGGATTATTATTATTATTATCACCATATAATGTCATCATGTCTAGCCCCAAAACAATCAGAGTATCTTATTAGAAGTAACAATGTATCTGAATACATCAATTGGACAATTTGTAAACACTTTGATATTGAGGTAAAAATCAACTGGTATGATCATCAACCAGTAAACATGACATCAAAAGGCAACATCGGAATAATCTGTGACTCACAAGTGCATACAGACAGAACAGACCAGATATCATCATAAAAATCACTAGATTGTACATGCAGTATTATTGATATGGCCATTCCAAGTAACTACAACGTACAAAATAAGGAACTAAAGAAGATCAGGATGTATGGTGTTCTACAAATTGAATGTGGAGCCATGTGGCCTTACAAGACAATCATAGTTGCTATAATCAGTCGTGCAACTGGGACTGTTAATAAGACAATTCAGAAATAGCTTGACAAAATGTCCACCTCCTGCAGAAAATAGTTATTTTAGGAAGTTCAAACATACAAAGAAAAGTAATATGGTAATGTTATTGGTGTGAATGACCATCACTGAGAACCACTTAGAAACTACTTTTATAGTGATTCAAACTTTAATACCATAAAAATAATAATAATCCTTACATTTGGATTATTATTATTTTTATGCAACCTTTAACACTGGGAGGACATCCTAAAACTTCATAGGATATAATGTAATATGCAGTGACTGCATTTTGTGGGCGAAAGCAGCAGCCAATTTGCACACAGTTATGTCCCACAAACAGCCATAGAGTGAGTGATCAATTTTATCTGAGGAATTCCGGGAGAGAGAAACTCCCTCCACTTTTCGAATAGTGCTGTGGGATCTTTGACGTCCACCTGAAGAGGCAGAAAGAACCTCAGTTTAATGTCTCATCCAAAGGACAGCACTTCTGGACAAAACAGCACACCTCCAGCACTGCCTTGGAGTGTCAGCTCAGACTACATGATTTCCAAGTCCCAACATAGGGCTTGAACCCACACTCTTCTGACTCAGAGGTGAGAGTGCTACCTACCAACTGAGCCAGGCTGCCACACACATTAGAACACCAGGGTAGAGATTTGTGAGACAAAACAACCTGAACTTATAAATTTTCTGATTTCTTGTACGGTTTCGTGGATTCTAGTGCAGGAGAATGATGGCAAGTAGTTTACATCCTAAAACTATCCAAAATAGAGTCCTGTAGCTAAATGGTTAGAGCACTAACCTCACAAGCAAAAGGATCTAGATTCAATTCTCAGGCAAGGCGAAATCAATAGGCAAGTGTCCTTACTCCGCAACCCTCAGTTTACTTAATAATAAGTAGAACCCAGTTGTTAGTGGATTGACGGATCACTTTCTGGGGGTAATAATCCCTTTAAAAAAAGAAGAATTTGGTCAATCCACGACTGTTTGTGGGACACTGCTGTGCGCAATTGGCTACTGCGTTTCCCCACAAAATACACAGTCGATTCACTATACAGTGTATTCTGTGAAGCGTTTTGAGTCGTCTCAATGACACATTAAGGAGTTGTATCAAATGCAAGGACGATTATTATTATAAATAACTGCCCGCACAAATTATAGATAAAAACTATCCCCGAGTATTATGTCTAGAATTTGCGGTCTTGGGATATATTCTGATGAGACAATGTCAATAGCAGTTTCTCATAGGTGTTTCCTCTTTCAGTATCCAAACAGGAAAGATTGACTGCTCCGACAATCTACTTATGAGAAATCTGGCTTTAATCAACAGAGCAATATTCTTTAATGAGTTGCCAAGATAAATTTTACTGGAACTGAATTTCTCTGTAACTTCTTTTTGTGGGAATCTTAATTTCAATAGAGTATTTGGGAAAGAAGCGCTTAGTTCCAGGAGCCTTTTTTTATGTGATAATCTTTGCCAGAGACGTTCAGGTGACAATCCCTCCCTGCATGGACCCACTGATCACCTTCTACTACATCTACTACATCTACCACTTGCAGAGTCTATAGAGTATTGTTTAGAGCACTCGCCTCACAAGCAAGAGCACCTAGGTTTGATCCTAGAGCAGGGCAAAATGTTAGACACGTTTTCTTGTTAGTCGATTGGTGGATCACTTTTCTATGGGTAACAATCCCGTAAGAAAAAATATAAAAAAATAATAGTTTGGCACTTAATCTATTACTGTCTGTGGGACACTGCTGTGCACAATTGGCTGCCGCGTTTCACCCACAAAATATACAGTCAATTCACTTTACAGTATATTCTGTGAAACGCTTTGAGATGTCTAGAAGATGTGGTAAGGCGCTACATCAAATGCAAATGTAACATCTCGTAAGCGAGGCTAAACTGAATTAGAAAGTGAACGCGTAAAAGAGAATATGAAGAATTGCTAACTGATTTCTCAAAACTGATAAATTCTATTGTGAACAATTCCTTTATTCTATCCTTTGCTTAATTCTTGATTCTGGACTGTATGTACAGTAACAACAACAACTTGCATTTATATAGCGCCCTTCATGCAGGGTAGCATTCCAGAGTGCTTGTCAGTGGCGAAGCACGATGCCAAGCCAGGGAAAGTGGGGAGGTGACCATAAGTACAGTTAAAGATGGAGGTCTTCAGGTGTGACCTAAAAATAGGGAAAGGAGGGGAGAGGTAGAGTCAACGGGGTCAACGGAAGAGTGTTCCAGAGTTTCGGGGTAAAAACTAGTAGTACTTTTAATAATTTTAATAATTATTAAATTATTTTCAGTAGAACTTTTAATAATTCTGTATTAAATTTATAACAATGTATTGTATTGTAACTTGGACAAAAAACATTTAGGAGCTGTGAGCTATACCATGTACCCATGGCAAGTCAGCATGTGACATATGCCATTAAAGGAGCATTTGGGGGTTCATCTACAGAAGTTGATGACAGTTGATCAACCGGTAAGTTGAAACTCGGTACTAAACAATGTGGGTACTAAACACTGCCATAAATGCCTCCCATACTCCTTTCCTGCTCTGCATTGTATTTCTCTTCATATCTGCTCCCTTGACCCCATCCCTACCCCTTTCCTTACCTCCCAGCTCCACCTCCTTGCCCCTCAACTCACAGACATAATAAACCTCTCTCTGTCCACTGGCACCATTCCCATCCCTTTAAAAATGGCCGTGATCACTCCTATCCGTAAAAATCCTCCCTGGACCCATTCCTGCTCTCAAACTACTGCCCTATCTCCAACCTCCCTTTCCTTTCCAAGGTGCTGGAATGAGTCGTTGCTTTCCAGCTTCACTCCTTCCTCTCCCGCCACATCCTTCACAAACCCCTCCAATCGGGTTTCTGCGCCGGAAACTGTCAGACATTAAGTTCTGGATGAGAACTAACTTCCTTCAGTTGAACGTCAACAAGACCGAGGCCCTCCTGATTGGCTCCCGTCAGCGCCTCCACACCTCAGGCGCTGACAGCATCACCATCCAAGGATGCACACTCCACCTTGCTAATGCAGTCCGGAACCTTGTTTGACTCTCAACTATCCTTTCTACCACACATCCGTGCCATGACTCGCTCTGCCTTCCCTCACTTCCGCAACATTGCACTGTCTCATACCGCAGGCCACTGAAACCCTCATACACGCATTCATAATATCCAGGCTTGACCATGCAAACTCCTTGCTTGTTGGTCTCCCCAACTCCTCCCTCCATAGGCTGCAGATCATCCAGAACTCTGCAGCCCTTGTCCTCTCCCACACCAGGCTCCACGACTCTATCACCTCCCATCCTTGCCTGGTCCTCACCTTCAAAGTCCTCCATGGCCTCACTCCCCCCTAATTCTGCGACCTCCTATTCCCCTACCAACCTGCCCGTTCCCACCGTTCAGCGGGCTCAGGCCCGCTTCACGTGCCCCGCCTCGCCTGCCCACCATTGGTGGGTGGGCCTTCAGCCACTCTGCCCCCACCCTCCGGAACTCCATCCCGCAGTCCCTCCGCCTCGCCCCCTCCCTTGCCTCCATCAAGACCCATCTGAAGACCTTCCTCCTTGACTGTGCTTTTGATCACTCTGCTTCCCCCCCTGACCTCCATCCTCCCCAATCCCAATCCCCAGCTTGGGTCCGAACCACTAACTGTCCAGCACCTTGGATGTCCTCCCGACGTGAAAGAAGCTGTACAAATGTAATTTGTTGCTGTTGTTGTTGTATCTGTATTGAGAAACATCAAAGTTCATTACCCAGGTTCGATTCCTGGGCAGGGCGAAACCTTAGCAAGTTTCCTTAATCCTTGTTTTCCTAGGGGTGGGTAGGAACCCGGTTGTTAGTCGATTGGCGGATCACTTTCCAAGGGTGAACAATCTCTCAAAAAAAATTATTTTGTTACTCAATCCATGACTCTTTGTGGTACACTACTGTGCACAATTGGCTGCTGCTTTTCCCCCACAGAACATACAGTCAATCCACTTTTCAATATATATTCTGTGAAGCGCTTTGAGATCTCTCATCAACGTGATAAGGCATTATATAAATGTAATTTGTTGTTGATGGTGAATCCAACAGTTAGAGGACATTGAAATAATATTTGTGTTTTGTTGCTCAAAAAAAGTCAAATAATGACAATTAAAAAAGGATTAGATAAATAGGTGAAGAAAAAATGATTTGGGTAAAAGTACAGAAAATGGGATTAAAGTAGTTGGCTTCACTGGAGTAAGTGATTGTATAGTATCCCCTCAATTCCTGAAACATTCTGAGTCCCAGATGCGTTACAGTTGCCGCTGGATCAGTGTTCAGTCTGGAAGGTCCCAATATCATTGATCGTCTCACGTCGGTAGCACTCTTACCTTTGAGCCAGAAGATTGTGGGCTCAAGCCCCACGTACAGACGTGGAAATCTATGCTGACACTCAATGCAGTATGTTACATTGTTGGAGGTACCGTCCTTCGAATGAGTTGTTAAACCAAGGTCCTGTCTGCCTGTTCAGAAGGATAGTATTGATACATGACACTATTAAAAAAGATAAGGGAGTTTCTCTTGGCATCCTGGCCAACAATCTTCCCCCCAAAATTAATCACTCACTCTCAGCTAACCCGAGACTGAATGGAGACATGGAATAACAATACCATTTGGGAGCTGTGTTTTATCCAAGGGTAAAAGTAGTTGTCTGGCACCTCTTGCTCGACTGTCAGGAAAAGGTTGAGGAGGTCAGTGTTGGAAAAACACATTCTTCCTTCCTTATAGTAAGAGCTTCAATTACAGTACATGAGTAGACACTTTTGTCTCGCAGGTGGGAANTTTTTTTCTTGGCTAACAAGATGTGCGGAAATTCATAAAAATTGGAGGAAGTTTCAATGGCAAGATGTGTTTGAAATGGGCAGGATTTTCAAAGGACGATTTTCTGGAAGGAGAGTAAGATTAATTGGCATAGATAAAATGAAAGTTCTCCGAACCTCTCCCATCAAAATAAATATATGATTTTTGTGATTGAATAAACTGAAAACTCATTACTCTCAAGGGGAACAGAGTGGAGAGTTTGGCATATGTACAAAGCCTGTGTTTCAGTGTGGCGAAGTATAGCGCTCTCTTCTCTGAGTCAGAATTATAAGATTATAGCCAAAGGTGATTTTGCTTAATACAAGTCAACCAGTTTTGTTTTATTTAAAGTTTTGAATTACACACATCAAAGTTACATTCGCTGCATTAACATATACATTATATTGTAATATTGGCGTATCCCATTATCTAGCATAACAACCCAAACAATATTACCTGCGACCCTCCGCCGCGGAACTGTTCAGTTGGAGAAAGACGTCCTTTCTTGCAGACCTCGATGCCCCTCATCTCGAGTCTTTCTGGATAACTCTTCTACTTTGTGCCTTTTATTTCTGTCATCCACGATTTTTAGCACTGACTCTGCATTCCTTATTCACCTGCACATAGCCTTCTAATTACTACAGGATAGGTGTTACTATCTTAACCTCTTGGTGTAATAGATCATCCCCACTATGGCCTCCATGTTTCACGTGATTTATCCTGTAACTGTTTCTTGGACATTTTTCCCTTATCGTGGCATGTGGTCATTTCTTTTAATTGTTATGTGTTACTTATAAAAAGTAATAATAATCCTTGTATTTGATATAGTGCTTTTCACACCTTCTAATCATCTCAAAGCGTTTCATATAGCCCTGCAAACTTGTCTTCCCCAAATAATTATCTACTTCTCTCTTAAAAGTTGTTTTTGAATCGGACACCGATTTAAAATAGTTGCTAAAAGAAAGAGAATTTTTTTCACACAGCGAGTTGTTCGGATCTGGAATGCTTTACCTGAAAGGGTGGTTGAAGTCGATTCAATAATAAATTTTATCAACGTGGTGGCTGAAGGCACGGCCGCTGATGGTGGAGCAAGGATTCGAGGGACAAGGGGGAGACCAGAGCCAGTATAACGGAGGCAGTGGGTAGTGCCATGAGGAGGTTGGAGAGATAGTGGGGTGCCAAGGCGTGGAGGGATTTAAACACTAGAGTGAGGATCTTGAAGTCGATCTGCTCTGTGACAGGGAGCCAGTGGAGTTGGGAGTTTAGTGCGGGTGAGAATGCGGGTGGCGGAGTTTTGGATGAGTTGAATTTTGCGAATGGTGGAAGAGGGGAGACCGGCAAGGAGGGTGTTTGAGTAGTCCAGCCGAGAAGTGATGAAGGCGTGGACAAGGGCAACTCAATCTCTGCGCATTCCAGGTATTCAAACACATTCAAGAGCTCTGAGACGCCATCAGGCGTGGAAGGCGCTATATGAATCCAAGTTGTTGTTGTTGTTGTAACAGGAGGTCTTGTGTTGTCTCGTTTCAATGTAATCCAGGGGTAGAGGAGATGTTCTCCTTAAAATTCAAACAGAGGCTGCCATTATAATAATAATATAATAATAATCCTTGCGTCTGATATAGCGTCTTATCATATCGTTGAGACATCACAAAGTACTTCACAGAATATATTGTAAAGTGGATTGAATGTGTATTTTGTGGTTGAAACGTGGCAGCCAACATGACAAATTAACAATTATATAATGTACATAAGTGATAAAAATGGATAGCTGCCAACCTTTCCCTGGTTGGCGACAGTGTTTCCGAAATTTGACGTACGCTTATGTATGGAAACCAAGATCCGTACGCATCACTGGGAATTTCCAGGAAGGCTGGGAAATGGCTGAGTGGTTGAAGATATAAGGCTCAGGGCTCCAGTGGAAGTGTCAAATCTGTGGAAGTTGAGCTGCTGAGTGCTGCCTTCCTGAACCGACACAGACTGGGAAACCATCAAATACAGTTCATTCAGCCTGAGCCAAAGACTCACAGAGTATCAGAACTAATAACCCTGAACTAAAGAGGAATCTGCTAAGGTAAGCAAGCTCCTCTCAGTGTGGTGATGTGTAAAGGCAGGCTGACTGCACTGGAATGTGAGTGCTAGCAAAGGGTAAATGTTTTTATATAAAGGATATTTTAAGTAAATTTCACTGTAAATTAGAAAGCCAAATCTATATATTGTGATGTACTACAGTATTATATATATCTTAATGAAGGATAAGGCAGCAGAACAGGTTATTCTGGACTTGAACGCCATCTGCTTCTGGTGACTTTGTGTATGTCAGTACTGTATTTGCTTTGTGTTAGTAATATAAAATCCACTTATACATAACTTTACATAAGTCATATATATGACATAACTCACATGTTGCATAAATCAAATTAAGTATATGGTCCCAACTGATATGACTTATGTGAGGTTTACTGTGTTATACTTATAGTTATGAATAAAAACATGATTTTGGTTTTGTCCCCTTTAGATTTATTCCAAGATGAAAACTGGAGCAAATCAACATTCTCTGTCCATTGGAGGAGGTTTCAGCTGCCTGTGGCTCTTCACTATCATGGTCTATGGTAAGATAAATTAATCCTAAAGATCCTTACATTTAATATAGTGCCATTCACTTAAGAAGCAAGGCTTCACAGGATTAACTCTGAAGTGTAGTGAAGTGCAGTAACTGTCCACTGCGTCGGTCAACATGGCAGCCAATTTGCATGCAACAATGTCCCATAAACAGTTGTAAAGTGAGTGATTGATGTTATCTGAAGGATTACTGTCCAGGGCACCAAGAGAAACTCCCTTCTCTTTTTGAATAGTGCCGTGCGATCTTTAACATTCATTCACCTGATCGTGCAGACGGGACCTCGGTTTAATGTCTCATCGTAAGGACAGCTCCTCCAACAATGCAGCTGTCCCTGAGCATTGTATTGGAGTGTCAGCCCAGACTGTGTGAGTTCAACGTCCTGACTTAGGACTTGAATCCATGACTTTCTGACTCAGAGGCATGATTGCAAAACCAAATGAGTCAGTTTACGTTACCCAATATGTCAGTGGTTTGTTCTGTTGTATTATAGACACTGTCCCAGTTGTTGCTAACATCTGTGATATATTGACATATTGGGGTGCAACAATTGGTCTCTGCACACCTGATTTATGGAAAGTGTGTGTGAAGGGGGGAGGGGGGCTGTAGAATTATTAATTTAAGAGGAAAAGGTAGAGAAAGGCAAATGAAACAAGCTTAGGGAAGGGGGACTATTTTACTTTGGTCTTGGGTGTCTGACACATGCAAAAACTCATCACTATGCTTAAAAGTATCCAAACCAAATTGAGAATTCCATGCATCCCACCTACACATGGAAATCCTAGAGATAGATTGTTGAAATGGAATGCACACCCTTTCCCTGGAAGGACACATCCTGCTTACCCAATTACTTACCTACTTCCAAAAAGTATTTGGAAATATTAGTCGATACATTAGTACATTTATTAGTATACATATTTGGAAAGTATTAGAAGATATTAGTATTGGAAGAGGCACTAATGCAGGGAATTAATAGGGAATGCATTCTCTACAGAACTAATGCTGGTAGGAAGAATCAATGGCTGGACTTATCATCATATTAAAGAAAATATGGAATGGACCAAGGCAAGAGATTTCTGTCAAGAACACTACACCGATATGGTTGCCATCCAAAACAAAGCCGAAAATCAATATTTGAATGACTTTCTGCCCTTCGTTCCCTCTTACTACTGGATTGGGATAAGGAAAGTCAACAGTGTTTGGACCTGGATTGGTACCAACAAGACCCTGACCAAAGAGGAAACCAACTGGGCTCCTGTAGAACCCAACAACAAGGGCAAAAATGAAGAAGACTGTGTAGAAATTTACGTTAAAAGGAAGCAAAACCCAGGGATGTGGAATGACATTTCCTGCACTAGGAAGAAGAATCCTTTGTGCTATCAAGGTAAGAACAGGAAGTGATCTTGGGTTAAAAAAAGAGTGCATGGGATGTAGTTTTACACACCATTGCAATTGGGTCATTTAAAGGGCTGGGCTGGGCTGCTTATTGAATCTTCTGAAAACAAGACAATATTCTGTATGGATCTAATTTGTGATATTTCTTTAGAAAAATGTAATCATTGAATTTCAAAACACCCAATGTGCTGAAGAGTGCATTCAATAATGTTTGATTTTTTACCCAACACATTCTATCAGCACATTGGATGTTCTAGACTTTAATACAGATTTTCCATTGAAACACTGCAAGTTAACACCCCATAGTCTCTGAATACAAGGCTCACAAATTCTCTGGAAAGAATTGCAAGTGAGTGGCCTGTAATTTGGATTTATAATGGAGCCTACCCTTAATTACAACATACAGAAGTACTTTACAACATTGGACTGTGATAGCTGCCATGTTAGGTGCTATCCATTCCTGTTCACTTTGTGCACATATTCTGTGGCTTGTATATCAAGGTTCTCAGTATGTATTAATTCCCAAGTTCTTTTTGACAGCTTCATGCCAGAACTCTACATGCAGTAGTCATGCAGAATGTGTGGAGACTATTGGAAATTATACATGTAGGTGCGATAAAGGATACTATGGAATAAACTGTGAGCACGGTAAGAACATGTTCCCTTTAAACCTGAGTAAGATTGAAGTAACCTGAACTAGCCTTTAGTGTGGAAAAAGTACAAATTCAGGCACTTTTTCCAAGTCAAATCCTATCAATTACAAGAAATTAGCAACACTTTCCCTGTGCACAGTTGGCTGCTGCGTTTCACCCACAAAATACCCAGTCAATCCACTTTACAATATATTCTGTGAAGCGCTTTGAGATGTCTCAATGATGTGATAAGGCACTATATCAATGCAAGAATTATTATTATTATTATTTATATGAAAAGTGGAATCAAATGAAGATTCCCAAATAAATTGGTTAGATGATTGAGTCAACGACGATACAAAATTAGGAAATGATGAAAATTATAGCGAAAAGGTTAGTGAATCTGGCACCAAAATTAACTAATTGTTACAATGTTTATTACCCAGTGGTTGAGTGCAATGATCTTCTGGCTCCTGAACGTGTGATCATGGACTGCACCGATCCGATTGGAAACTTCCGCTACTCCTCTACATGTGATTTCCACTGTGAGGCAGGGTTTACCCTGAAAGGGAAACAGAGAGCACAGTGTGCTGAGACAGGACTCTGGACGGAACAGACACCCACCTGTGAAGGTACAGTCTTGTCTTCAATCAAAAGCAGGGGGTTGTTTTTCTTTTCATTTTAGCTGAATTATACAAATAACATTCTGTGCATTTGAGCTCACATCCCATTTCTGTTGCAGCTGTTAAGTGCAGAGACCTGGAGACTTCTGTGGTAGGATCCAAGAAGTGCTCAGATCCCTTGGGAGATTTCAGCTACAACTCAACCTGTGACTTTAGCTGTGATGAAGGGTTTGAGCTCCGTGGGTTAAGGAGACTGGAGTGTGGAGCCTCTGGAGAATGGACAGCACAGACACCCTCCTGTACAGGTACGTTCAGTTCACAATAATACCAGAAAATATCAGGCAGAAGGAAGACTGCCCTACCGTGAATAAAACTCTAATGTAATAATAATAATCCTTGCATTTGGCATAGTGCCTTATCATGTCGGAAGGGTGACTTAAAGCACTTCACGGGATTTACTCTGAAATGGAGTGACTGTGATTTGTAGGCAAACATGGCAGTACAATTGCGCTCAGAAATGTCCTACAAACTGCCAAGTCATATCTGTGTATTAAAAAAAAGTGGTTATATTATACACGTTAAAATGTGTTTATATTATACACGTTAAAATGTGTTTAATTAATGTTTCAGCTGTAAAATGCAGCCACTTGGAGACTCCAGCACAAGGGATCATGGAATGTAACCATCCCACAGGAGACTTCAGCTTTAACTCAACCTGTGACTTTAGCTGTGCTGAAGGGTTCGAGCTCCTTGGGTTAAAGAGCCTGGAGTGTGGAGCCTCTGGAGAATGGACAGCACAGACACCTTCCTGTGCAGGTACACTTAGATTACCCTTATAACAGGGCATATTAGCCAGAATGAAAACTGTCTAATAATAATAATATAGTAAGAATAATCCTTGCATGTGATTTAGCACAATATCAGATTGGAAGGATGTCTCAAATCACTTCGCAAGTTATACTGTGAATAAAAATAAATATTCGCTCTCACTTGCGAGGCAAGCACAAGAAAGGAAACTTGCCTAAGATTTCGTATTTGATATAATGCCATATCATGTCAGTAAGACATCTCAAAGCGCTTCAGAGAATATATTGTAAAGTGTAGTGACATTTTATATGTGAAATGCAGTAGCTGTTTATTTGTAGGCAAACATGGCAATACAATTGTGCACAGCAGTGTCCTTCAAACAGCCAAGTCATATGCTGTGTATTGAAATGTGTTTAATTAATGTTTCAGCTGTAAACTGCAGCCGCCTGGAGATTCCAGCACAAGGGATCATGGAATGTAACCATCCCACAGGAGACTTCAGCTTTAACTCAACCTGTGACTTTAGCTGTGCTGAAGGGTTCGAGCTCCTTGGGTTAAAGAGCCTGGAGTGTGGAGCCTCTGGAGAATGGACAGCACAGACACCTTCCTGTGCAGGTACACTTAGATTACCCTTATAACAGGGCATATTAGCCAGAATGAAAACTGTCTAATAATAATAATATAGTAAGAATAATCCTTGCATGTGATTTAGCACAATATCAGATTGGAAGGATGTCTCAAATCACTTCGCAAGTTATACTGTGAATAAAAATAAATATTCGCTCTCACTTGCGAGGCAAGCACAAGAAAGGAAACTTGCCTAAGATTTCGTATTTGATATAATGCCATATCATGTCAGTAAGACATCTCAAAGCGCTTCAGAGAATATATTGTAAAGTGTAGTGACATTTTATATGTGAAATGCAGTAGCTGTTTATTTGTAGGCAAACATGGCAATACAATTGTGCACAGCAGTGTCCTTCAAACAGCCAAGTCATATGCTGTGTATTGAAATGTGTTTAATTAATGTTTCAGCTGTAAACTGCAGCCGCCTGGAGATTCCAGCACAAGGGATCATGGAATGTAACCATCCCACAGGAGACTTCAGCTTTAACTCAACCTGTAACTTTAGCTGTGCTGAAGGGTTCGAGCTCCTTGGGTCAAAGAGCCTGGAGTGTGGAGCCTCTGGTGAATGGACAGCACAGACACCCTCCTGTGCAGGTACTAATATCTGTCTTTCAATAGCTAAAATTAATTTGATGAGAATTTTACTAAACAATAGATAGATAAAAAGCTTTAAAAAGCTTTAACCCACAGAGCTGGATCTCTTCTAAATTGCTAGAAATAATCGACAACAACAATAGATTACATTTGTATAACAATTTTCACGTAAGGGGGATGTCCCAAGGCGCTGGATATTCAGGGATTTGGCCCCGAACTGGGACTTGATATCAGGAGGGTTGGAGGGATGGAGAATAGGAGGGTGATCGAGGCACGGTCGAAGATGAGGGTCTTGAGATGGGTCTTATAATCGTCATAGAGTGATATATAATAATGGGTATGCACTAAATGGAGTTTATGTTCAGCACTGAGCGCTCATGTTCATGTTATATCCCACCCACTCTAGCTGTGAGATGTGATGCTCCAGAGATTCCGAATAGTGGAGGCATGAACTGCTCCCATCCGAATGGAAACTTCAGTTATAGTTCGACTTGTAACTTTGGCTGCATGGACGGGTTCTGGCTGAATGGTTCAGAGAGCCTCAAATGTGACTCCAATGGAGCCTGGACAGGACCTGCGCCAACCTGCCAAGGTGTGTTGAAGATTAACACTATTTTTTTTAAAAGCTGAACTTAATTATTTGATGTAAAACACTGTTAAAATTACCTGCACAATTTCCAGTAATGCAAACTTTAAGTCATGAAACTGAAACAGAAATAATACCAAGTTTTTAACCTGGGGGCATTTTGTGTACTCTTTAGATTCTTCTCCTAAACTCAGCATTGAGAATCACATACCCATACTCCTAGCCTCTGGAGGTTTAAGTCTCATCTCTGCCGTGAGTGTCATAATTTGGATTGCAAAACAGCTCCGAAAGAAAGGTAATTACTAAATTGCATAAATTCCTTTTCATAGCTGTAGATTCAAAAATAGAAGTGAGTTTTTTTCTTCCGGTGTCATGGCCAACCATCCCTCTAATAAAATTGGTCACTTAATTCACGTCTGTCTGTGGGACACTGATGTGCGCAATTGGCTGTCTCATTGCCCACAAAATACACAATCAATCTACTTTACAGTATATTCTATGAAGCGCTTTGAGACGTCTCAATGACACAATAAGGCACTATATCAAATGTAAGGATTATTATTATAGAATTCTATCCAGATTTCCCCTTTTTTCTGATATCTGTTTAGTACTGTTGGTCAAAAGTCTTTTGAGATCATTTAACATTCCCCTCTAAATCATGAATTCATTTTCTTTTGTCTTTTAGCAAAAGCATCAAAGTTTTCCCTTCTAAGGTAAGAATTTATACTCTTTCATTTTCTGATCACTTCAAAGTCACGTACTGATATGTGACTCTATGTAAATTCAATGTCGGTGATGTTCAATATAACATCTGGCTTTGCTGACTGTTAATTGTTTGGCATTCAATTCATATCAAAACGTGCAATCATTTTGATCTCCTTTCCTTTTTACAGTGATACACAGAATAAACCACCGGGAATTTACAAGTCGAACAGTGAGGTTTAGTCATCATATGCACAGGTAAGGTACTTATAGTTAGCTAATCGCTTTAGTTAGCTAAAATCTGTACGGAAGCTGATTATATAGCTTGCCAATTGCCCCTAGCAATCATCGAAACTCTCAGAAGGCATTTTTCTTTGCCCTTTCATTCCTAACAGTGCTGGGGTATTGCCCCACAAACTAGGCCACTCTCCACTATCTTTGCTGAAGTAAACTGTCCTCCTTTGTGAGCCAACACACCTTGGCAATGGGCTATTTGACATTCCATGGCAATTGAGAATTAGAACCAGGGTTCATGTATTTTTCCCCACACTCCCTATCCCAAGCTATGAGTTGTTGCTTCTACGGCCACTCTGGCAGAGACCAAAAAATGCAGTACAAATCAGTCTTTCTGGATCTATATAGTTCAGTTCCACACAATTTAGTGATGTTACCAACTGAGCACGTCAGCACAGCTATCAGTAAAGGTCCAGTGGAACTTCTGATTCTAAGGGCGGGGGCTATGTGGGTCATTTGGATATTGATCCAGCAATGTCCTACCATTTGGACCAGGGTAGGACATTGCTGTGCACAGTTGGCTGCCGCATTTTCGCCCACAAAATACACAGTCAATGCACTTTAAATTATATTCTATGAAGCGCTCTGAGATGTCTCAACAACGTAATAAGACGCTACATCAAACGCAAGGATTATTATATTATTATTTCTAATTATATTTTACATATTATTTGCAGGTCGTTCATAATTTTATTGGAAGAAAAGTCGAGAGAGAAAAAGCTTTTTGAAGTTTTCCAAGAATCATTGGGTTTGCACCCCAGACCTTCCAAAGAACCGTCTAACAATGAGGTGGATCTAAATTCACTTAAGATAAAATTGGACTGGACTTTCAGCATTCAGAACAAACTACGCTGTTCAGAAACGTTTTGCCCAAATACCAAGCTTCTCTGTAGAGCTATAGTCTTTGAAAGACATTTACTGAGATACAATGTAAGACTTATTCCTATTAGGGTCATAATGGGATCATATTAATTGTTTTGGCAAATCGGGTATAGGCACCTTTCTGTGTAGAACTGACAATGTGTTAACCACATAAAGTATTTCACCTTAGAGGGCCAAGCGTGGGTTATTGTATGATCAATGCAAAGTTGCTTGTTGGCTCAGCAACTATGGTGTCAGTGCAGTTTTATTTCTGCACTATTTGCTGTCCAAGTAGCCAGTTAGAGGATTCCTACAATTTATTCACTGAGACAAGTGAAAATTTGTGGTGAGTAATTGCATTCACCCTGATGCTCCCACTCAGCCCACCCGAATCCTGCATTCAATGTTCTGTCTTCAGTAAGTCTACTTCCAGGGTACTAATTGGCTCAGGAGACAATTTTCCTTCAATATTTCTCTTGTCTCTGCTCTAGTTCCAGTTCCAGTTGATGGTGCTGTTGAGTTGAGATAAGAACTGTAGGTGTTGGGCATGCTGCAATCTGAGTTGTCATTGCTGCATTCACTCTTGCAACAAACATCATCACAAATCTTTGAGTGTCCCAGCTACAACCCCAATCTAACTGCAATTTAACCTTTATGAAAACAAAGCCTGAAAAGAGCTGATGGGTTAACAAATAGACATTGAGCTGGTTGCAATTCTAATGAAGTAAGAGTTAAGCAGCACATTGTGAACCAATTGAATGGTTCTTTATCTGCACAAATGTATTACAATGTAATACAAGGATGCAATACAAAAATGTATTATGACTGGTATATTAATTCAGTACAGTGGCCCCAAAGTGTCTTCGGGCTCAGGATAATAATTGAAAATTGCGCACCGTCCAGATTTGGTTTGAATCTAGCTTGCCCAATTTAATATGTATGTTACATGTAAGTAAATTATATTTATTTTTAGTTTATTTAATTCCTTCCTCTGGGATGTGCCAAGAGATAGGATGTTTGGATGAAGTGTTAAGATTTTCCATGTTAGTATAATCATTTAGACTCAGGTTCTCCTGGTTGATGTAACAACCATACAAAGGTTTTGTATCTGTGTTGTGCAACTCAGAACTGCCAGGATGTACAAGTTCTCTTTCTCTCTTTTTGCATTAATTTCTACGTGTTCCTCAAAATCCAACTGGAGGAAAAACTCACCATTGTTCAGCCTTGCTTCTTTCCATTAACAATGCAAACTAACTCAGTTTAGTCATGTGAGCAAAAATGTAGCAATGTCTACCAAAAAAAAGCACTGGTTTTGTTCCCAGCATTAAGAATTTTTTGCGGCTCGTTCATCAGAGCTTCTAATTTCACAGAGAAAGCTGACGTCACATTTTTCAGTGACTTCCAATCTTTCAGTGAAAAAATTTGACAAGATCTTCGCCTGACAAAATCTCTGCTAAGTATAGAGTGTAGAACATGTAAAAGCATCATTTTCAGTGAGGTTATGCATTAAATGTGTTTGTTGAATTTAAAGTGGGAAAATTGTCTGCTTATCTGTGTGTGTGTGTGTTTGTATGAAATGAAACAACACATCAGACAGTTTAACAACAATAAATGTATATATGTATAAGGCACTTTTCTGGTCGGGAAGATGTCCCAAGGCCTTTAGATCTGCATGTTAAACCTGGCCTGTGTTTTAAAACCCAGCCCATTTGAAAGCATTATGTATGAAAGTGGAAAATAAAGAAAGGTGTTGTTTAAATGATTTTATGCTACTGTATTTGTGTATGTAATGTGGCTTATTTGAGGTGGATTCAATAACTTATTTGTATAAGTTGAAACCACACCTGTATGAATTTGTATGTTAATTATAATAAAATGTGATTCCTGAATATAAACTATCGGCTGCTAATCGCTTCCTATATCACCAAAGATTGAACGGGACAAATACATGGACATCTTTAGCTACAACCTTACCCTATATTCTTTACCCTTGTCCTTTTATCTGTTAAATTGAAGGTTAATCCACACTTTCCCATTTCTTGCTCCAAAGCAGCTTTGTTGCCAGCATTAGAATGCTATCAATAACCTCTAATAATAATAATAATCCTTGCATTTGGTATGGCGCCTTATCACGTCTTTGAGATGTCACAGAATATACCGTGAAGTGAATTCACTGTGGATATTGTGGGCAAACACAGCAGCCAATTGCGCACAGCAGTGCATTGAGTGACCAAATATTTATTATTTGATGTATTAAACAATAAAATAAATAACTGTTATTTAATTATTTTATTAATTACAGTAAAATCATGTAGTGCAAATGTGTAAATAACTGAAAGTTAATAGAGGTGACCTCCTCTGCAGTTCTCGCTGTAGAAACCAGTCTAGTGCAGCAGTCCTGTCTATCACTTTCAACAACAAAAACAAATTACATTTGTATAGCTCCTTCCATGTTGGGAAGACGTCCCAAGGCACGAGACAGTTAAATGGTGGAGCCGGGCGATTTTGCGCAGGTGGGGGAAGGCAGAACGGGTCATGGTACTGATGTGGGGTCTGAAGCACAGTTGAAAGACACCAAGACTCCTCACTGGCTCAGTAAGGTGTAGAGTGCATCCATGGATGGTGATGCTGTTATTGCCTGAGGTGAGGAGGCACTGACGGGAGACAAACAGGAAAGCTTTGGTATTGTTGACGTTCAACTGGAGAAAGTTAGCTCTCGTCCAGGACTTGATGTCTGACAGACCATCCATCAGGACAACAGTGGCCCTTTCAGTATTGCTCTCAGCAAACAGTCAGAGCTCGGTCTTATTGGGCAGGAAGTTCTCAGATAAACACTGTCAGCATATCTTGGGAGCTGTTACACAGTGTCTTGTTAAATGGTGCGGTAACTGCACTCCTATACCATTATCTTACTCTGTCAGGCATTTCCCGGTGTTTTCTGTCTGGTTTTCCTGTGCTCACAAAATCACACAGGGCCATAAAGGATATTTATAGCTACAATTACACTTTTGTTTTTTGTTGTATTCTCACTTACATCTATACTTCACCCACAAAATGTACAGTCAATTCACTTTACAATATATACTGTGAAGCGCTTTGAGACGTCTCAATGACGTGATAAGGAGCTATATCAAATGCAAGGATGATTATTATTATACTTGAAATTTATTGGCCTAAGCTTATGTTTTGTTATGTATTGGTTATCTTTCTTTGCATGCTGATTTTCCTTTTCTAGTTCTTTCTTTGTTCATTTTCTGTTTCCTCTTTCCCAACCCCACGCTTTTCTCTACTCTTTTATTCATTGATCACTTGAATGGTCTCTTTTGCTCCCTTTTCAGTGGTATACTATCCTCCTTGGAGCCACCTCAGCATCTCCCAGGAGGGAGTAAGTCTCCTTGATGCTGAGGTGGCTCCAATATGCTTGGCAACAGAATGTCGGAATTGAGTCATTCCTCTGTGGCGGTCTCGGTAATCCAGTTCCTGAGATAGGCTGGTCTATCGTATTCCAGGGCACTGCTGATGGCAGCCCAGCCAGCTGGCTTGTCACAACAGGACTTGAAGAAGCAGAGCATTCACCGGGAAGAGCGATTCTACCCACTCAGCTCCTAAGCCAAAACACTATGGGTGAGTGGTCCTTGCTGGATAAGCAGGGTTCACTGTGGCAAGCTATGTGATTTTAGCTAATTAAACTCAAGCAGTACCTGTATACACTGTCTGGGATCCCCAATCCTTGGTTCTTGCCAACCTGCGCCTAATACTCTTCAAAATTAGGTGAACAAAGTGCGTCTCTCTGGGAAGAAAGCACCTATTCCATTCCAGACACAGGGAAATTTCCATGTGTCGGTGATAATGTACAACTCGGGCTGGTTTGGATACTCTTACGCACAGCAATGGATTACCGCAAGTGATAGAGACCAAGCTGATCATTTCAGTGAATTCTACTACCTCGTTGGAATCTATTCTGCAAATAGTGATATGGGCCTGAGTAGTTAAATTAAATGTGGGTGAAGCACAAAGGAAATGGCAAAATAACTGCAAGCCAGACTCAAATGCCTGATTTCCACCAGAGAGATTTTCCCAAATGACAAGAAAATGGGAAATGATTTGAGAACATAGGGGAAAACATTAGTAGTAAATGAGCTTTTGTACGCACTTTATTCAACACCTAATTAACAGTTTCAAAACAAAGCTCAGAAAATTCTATCAGATGAATGCAATACATTCAGTCCACTTCCTTTCCTATACAATTCAGAGAACTTAATAATTATTTTTGTGGCTTTAACATTATAAAGTTAAAGCTGTGTTTGTGTTAAGTAAGAACTCTTGATCTCATAATGATTTATTTAAGAGCATGCTACCCTCAGATTTAATCGGCACTGCCTAATTTTTATCTTCTCCCACTCACTTCCTCCACCTCTTTCTCAGCCTACGACCTTGTTGAGGGCTGGGCTCTCCCCTGGGCCAAGGGGTGTGTGACCAATGTTCCCACTCCTCCAGCGCCGGCTGAGCGTCTCTGTTTAGACGTCAGCTAAACTGGAGCATGGTTGCCATTCTCCAGGGAGGAACCAAACAACACGCAACAAGTTGATTTTGTATGTTTTTTCTTTAGATTAACCCATACTATAACTATAATAATAATATTAATAATCCTTGCATTTGATACAGCACCTTATCATGTCATTGAGACGTCTCAAAGCGCTTCATGGAAAATATTGTAAAGTGATTTGTGGGCGAAACCGGCAGTCAGTTGCGCACAGCACAAACAGTCATGGATTGAGTAACCAAATTATTATTTATTTAAAAAATTACCACCCCTGGAAAGTGATCCGACAATCGACTAACAACCAGGTTCCAAACTTACTGCTCGTAAACAAAGGTGTGTGGAGTTAGGAAACTTGTCTAAGGTTTCGGCCTGTCCAGATCCTCTCGCTTGCGAAGTGAGCGTGTGCTAATTGCTACGGGACTCCAAACACTTCATTGCGGTTCATTTTAATGGGCGAAGTTGTTCCTAAACCCTTAAAAAATTAGAATTTAATTCTGTGGAGCTACCTACATGGCAAAGAGGTGGCAATTTTTCCATGCTTTAATGGGATAGATGATGCCCCAATAGACCAACTCATAGTTTTTCCATGTGACTATATCCAAGGTAGAGTCTGTGAATAAAAGGGAACCTTGGAAATAAGAAGGCATTCAGCTCACTGAGCCACTCTGCCATTGAATATTCAATTATGTATGTAAAACCTCTCCCTTATCCCACCACAATATTTTTTACTATCTACCGATCATTCTTTTAACCAATTTCTCCTCTGGTTTTCTGGGGCCGTGCGCTTCTGATTCATATCACTCACTCCGAGATGAAATCCCTTGATCCTAATGGCCCTTTACCATAATGGTGAGGTCCCATTCCTTAGTAACTGATTGATCTAACCTCACAACATCCTGAAAGCACTCGTGTTTGGGGATCACTCACATAAACCACTGGCCGCAGAATAGGAATAAGACACTGGTCTATTTGGCTACCTGACTCAGGCTGGGGTCAGGACCTTGTGTAGGCCTACTGCTGCCAGGGATTGTCCAGTAACTCAGCCGTTGGGTAAAATTTAACAAAAGTCTTTTTTTTCTGTTTGTAATCAATTACACTCACTAGTGTAATTGATTACAAACTGTGTAACTTGTTCCACCTTTCAAGAGTTCCCTTCATGGAAACTTGTCTTAGGTTTCATCCCATCCAGGTCTTCTCGCTTGTGATGGAGCGTGTGCTAATCACTATGGCTATGGGACTCCAAACACTTTATTGCAATTCATTTTAATGGGCGAAGTTGTTCTTCTAAACCCTTAAAAATTAGGAATTTAATTTTGCCCACAAAATATACAGCATATTCTTGAAGTGCTTTTAGACGTCTCAAAGATGTGATAAAGCATTATATCAAATGCAAGGATTATTATTATCGTCGTGCTCAGCTCGCTGCTTGGACTTGTGTTCTGTTCCATTTTCAGGAAAGGTGACAGAAAAATTCCCAACAACTACAGAACCATTAGTCTTGCCACAGTAATAGGAAAACTAAGTAGAACTTTATACACCACAGAAGAACGAGAAGATCCACATTCCCCATGAGAACAAAATCCAGCCTGTTCCTTTCTGATTACGCCGTGAGCCATCATATGTTTCATGTCTACTTGACGCACCATCTACCGAGACACTGGAACCAATGAGATCCCTCAATGGTTCTTGGTCTAGCTAACCTTTCTTGTAGATACATATCACAAATGTATTCTCAAACACTAATGGTATGTGTATCTCAGACAGGATCATTTTGACCATCTTTAGTAGGGCAGCCCCATGGTGAGTTGACGTTCGTGGTATTGATATGTAAGATCGCCCACCATTCTCCATCCCATCCCTCTGAGCATCTTTTACAAACCCAAGATTAATACTGTCCACACTCGCTGGCTTCCCATTAGCAAGGCAACTGTCTCAGTGTTGAATCTACATCTTCTCTGAGAGACAGATCATAAAGTCCTTCAATATCAAGGATAAGACATGGACGTGGATTATTAACTGTCTGAGAAAAAGAAACAAGGAGAACTGATTAGGGGAGCTGGGTCAAAATGGGAAGAGATAATAACAGTAATAATAACAATAATAATAATAATCTGTGCACCTTTCAAATCAGGAGCACGTCTTAAACCCCTTCATATGATTTATTGTAAAGTTACTGACTGCATATTTTAAGTGAAAGCTACAGCGAATTTGCACACCACAAAAAGCCATGAAGTGAGGACCAGGATCCATGCTGGAGCCCATCCTGTTCCTTGCGTATATGAATGACCTGGAGTTGCAACGTCACAATAGTTACATTTGCAGAAGACACCA